TGAGATTCTGTTATCAGGTACATACAATTTTATCATTGTCATGTCTTCCTGATAAACTTACTCTTTAATCATTGTGTCTGTGTTCATCTTTGGTAATATTCTCTGCTTTCAAGTCTATTTTACCTGTTATTAATATGGCCACTGACCTCTCTATACTTCCTGTTTGCATTACAGCTCATTTTCCCCCATTGTTTTTACCTACCTGAGTCATCATACTTAAAGTGTGTCTCTTATGGACAAAATATTGTAAAGGCTTGCATTTAAAATATGTTCACATAATTTCTGTATTTTTATTAGATCATTTAGTCCATTAATATTTGATATAATTAGTGACATCACTAGATTGCGTTTTCCCCCTCAAATTATATTGTTCTCATTCCTCTTTTCTTTCTTCTCTTGTGTTGTTTGAATATTCGATCTATTTGTTAGCTTATTAGTGATTCTACTTTGCATTCCTTTATCTATGCCCTTGTACTGATTTCTTCTGTAGTAGCTGGCATCCGGTCAGGAAATAGAAGGCATACCAGCTATTGAACAGGAAGTTTAATACAAAAAAGTGTTACCTAGGTAACTGAAAATGTATAAAAGAGATTCTGAGGTATCATGAAAGTAGGAAGCATCTATCACCCTTAGGATTTAGAGAACAAAAGAAGAGATTATAATTATTAAGACTTAGAAGCTTAAAGGAGGAGCCCCATGGAGGTGAAGGTCAGATCTCTGAGGAGAAGGTTGTCTGGTGTTGGTATCTCTGAATGAGAAAAAGGCCTGGACCCAGACTCTGAGCAAGAGGCACTGGCAGACATATAGAGAGATCTCAGATAGGGGCTGATGCAGTGAGGCTTGTTCTACAGGTTGGAAAAAGGGCAAACTGAATTGAGCTGCTTCTACCAGGAGGAATTGCTACTCACAGAGTGAAGAAGTATTGCTGTGGTGAGTCTCCTAGGAACCACAGACAGGAAGCCACAGGAGGTGAACAGGTAGTAGACAGGAAGGGACAAGTCCTGTCTTTCTTCTCTCAGGAAGCTCTGGTGTTCCCTGTTAACAGAACCTTACAGGAAGCCAGCTGGCAAAGCAAAATGATGTTGCTGAGTTCTGACCTGGCATCACTGAGGAAACGATAACAGAGTAGGACTGAGGTTGAGGGGTAATAACTGGGTCTTCTTCCAGTGGCACAAGACATCTTTACAGCTCTCTTGTCTTACAATTTTTTCTTTTCTTGGACCTTCTTGTTTCAGCTTTCCCCATCTTTTCGTCTTCAAACTTCTTGTCTTTTACTTATCCTTTTACGATTAGCAAATATCACAGGGACTGAGATAGGGGAGCTAGTAAGTGCTCAAAAATGCCTGCTGGATTAATGGTGATACAAAAAGGTTTATGATTCATGTCAAATGACTAGTGCAGACTCTAATTTCCACAGAAGCTCAGGGCAGGGAGAGACTCCTATCTGAGTCCCTCCAACTGAAGTAGCTCCAAAGGCATCATAGATGAGATGAATCTTGAAATAAATAATGATAAATGGGAAAAATTAAACACACAGAGAGGATGAGCCATTCAAAGTGAAGGCACAGCATGAATAAAAGCATAGGTAGGAATGGGCTGGATGTCTTCGGAAGACAAGCATGACTGGTGCCGAGGCTTCTGTTGGAATTTTAGGCTACTTTGTGGATAGATTCCTTACCATCAAGGGGAAACGATGGAATCATAGAGAGTAATTGGGAACTTTCTTGTAGAGCTGAGGAGGCTCCATCTGTGACTTTTTCCAGCCAGAGAGAGTTGTGGTGAAGACAGTGCTGATGAGAATACTGTGCAGGTTGGACAGAGTGATAGTTGACGCTCAGGTCTTAAACATATGTGTATGTTTAATAGGAATTGAAAAATCTGGCTTAATAGGAATTGGAAAATAAGAAAGAGAAACAAAAGAATTTTTAATTATTTTCAGATTTTAACAATATTAAGTTTAACTTCACAGTCCACATTTAGAACTAGGCAATGAAAGACAGACAGACAGACAAACAGTAAACTGGGGAGAAATCCAAGAGGTAGAGGAAGTTTCCACATAGTATAGGAAATGGGGAGAGAACAATTTTAGGTCAGCATGTGATCACCCTTACTTCCAAAAGGGTAGGGGGCAATATTAGGGTTAAGCAGGGCACATTGGTTTTATTATTTGCGTCAGGACTTGAAATAAGGGATGGATTAGCTGCTTGGATGCTGACACTAGCCCCATCTCATTCCCTTGAATACACCAATTCCTCCCCGTGTTGAGGCCACGCATGGTTTCTTTCTCTTCCTGAAGATCGCCTTTCTCAATCTCTGAAAAATAACCTTTGCCTATGCCTTAAATTGAGGCAAAGTATTGTATCTTAAAAATGATTAAGATTTTATTGCTATTTTGTTCTTCAATTGTGCTAACTCTTCCTTTTTCAAGGTAAACAGTTTCACCAGAAAAAAATATAGCCAACAAGTTCCAAAGGGAAATTATAACACAGTTGTATCTCTATATTCTGGGGGATAAATTCCAGGATACCGTTCTACACCAAAATCTGCAGATGCTCCTGTGCTTTTTCATAAATGGTTTAGTATTTGCACCTAACTTTTATACAACTTCTGCATACTTTAAATCACCTCTATATTACTTATAACACCCAATACAATGCAAAATGCTGTGTAAACAGTTGCTAGACAGTCTTGTTTAGGGAATATAGACAACAAAAAGTCTGTCCATGTTTGGTGCAGATGCAGTTTTTCCCCTAATATTTTTGCTCTGAGATTGGTTGAATGAGTGGTTGTTGAACCCCTAGACACAGAGGGCCAAGTACATGTTGCTCAAAAAATTAAACCTATTTGATAAACAGAAGAATGGACATATTCAAACTAGATTACCCTATTTACCTATTCCACCAAAGCCTCTGCTGTACGTTTATGTGGAAGGGATTCTGCTTTCTTCTTTGGTTTCTGAACTTGGCTAAAGTACCTCTGTTGTTTTTAGGAGAAGCTAAGCCCTCTCAACTGAAGCCTAGGAAAACCAGTCGCACTCTCTGGACAAGTAACTGCAGCAAATCTCTTGTGCTTCCAGGCACGTTGGAGATCCTGAGGGTGCAACTCCTCAGAGACCAAGGGCAAGATAATCAGTCCAAGGAGACAGTTAATTTTAGTACAAAAGAGGCTAGATGTGATTTATTTCCAACACCAGTGAACCAAAAGAGCTAACAATCATCGGCACAAAACACAGAACCATCAAATACTCCATGGTAAAAATGGCTTATATCAACTGAGAACTGCCTCCTCATTAGCAAGGGACATGGGCTTCTGGTGGCCCAGGGTTATTTCCAGAGTGTCTTTACAAGCAAAGGTGTTTGCATCATTGAAGAGATAGAGAAATGGGTTTGGAGACAAGAAAGAGAATAGGAGTAGAAAGGCAGGTGAGAGGGCAGGAGAGTTTTTATAGGAATATCATAGCTCATTTGTCATTTCCTTCATTGTCATTATCTTTGGAAAGCGTAATACTAGGACAGGGTCCATAGAACTTGTGCTGTCTCTTAATTATCTCTCTTCAGCTGCTGCAGGAAAGTCCTCTCCATGGCTCTGTGTGCTGTGGAGCAGAGCTCAGAGTGCTCACTGCCAAGCCCAGACTTTCTTCCAGGCTACATCTCGACCTCTGGGATGGGTATTGTTGCTTCTCACCCAGCAGAGTGTTTCCCTGCACTTGAGTAGAACACGAGGACTTATCAAAGGCCGTTGCCTGTTGTCCCATTTTCAATTTATTCAGTTCTACAAAACAGCTTAGAATCTCCTTTTCCTGTTCCTGAGATTCACATTGCATCTAAATCCCAGGGCTTGGAGGAAACCCTTTATCAACAGCAGGATGAGGGTTCTGACGGCAATATACAAGGTCCTTTAATAAAGGAAAAGCTTTAGACCCTTCTTGTTCTTTTTTTTAGGTCATTGTTTACCAGAGTACCTGGGGTCCTGAATCCTGTTGCTGCTATTTAATCCCTTTGTCTTCTCCAAAGCCACTACCTCATATGCCAGTTTCTGCTATTGCCTTCACATCATGTGTTCCTCATTTTTTCATGAACCAGGACACTGGCTTAATTATCTGTGAGTCTCCTGTACCTACGTCAGTGCCCAGTGTTTATGAGCGAGTGAGCAAGAGGCACTGAATGAAAGAATGCCATTTATGTTGAGGGAATAGTAATTAAATTGAGAATGAAGCTGTCTGCATCTATCCCTGGCAAATAAGAAGAGAAACATTATGAGACTCTTGTATTTGTCAGAAGAAAGACTAAAATCAATGTCTTCCATTATTCTTAAAGAGAAGGCTCTGGGGAGTTGCTCTGGTTATGAGATCAGGACCCAGGACCATGGTGGCATTTAGATCTGAGGCATCTGTCTTGTGCACATTTCAGAGCAGGGATTCACATTAACCTTTCTTTCTACTTCTGGTTCCCCCTTCCCTTTCCCTAACTTTACTGTATTGCTCACACTTACAGAGATCATAAGATACACTCTCTGTCCTGCCAAATGTCTTGTTCTGTGAGCGGATTAAGGGCATTATTACTGGTTTCCAAAAAACACATTCCATCTCCTTAGTTTTTCTTTAAATATTTGAGTTTAGGAATGGTGCGTTTAGGAATAGAGCTCCTACTTGAAGAAGAAATTTGAGTTTTGGAATTTGAGTTTAGGAACAGAGCTCCTACTTGAAGAAGAAAATGACTTCCTGTTGGTTTATTGTTTTTAATACATCAAGTTGTTTTGTCAACTAGGAGAACAACTGCATCTGCTACAGTTGGGAGGAATTGGATTTTCTATTTCTCCTGCAAGCATCCCTTGTGGCATCCCTTCCAGAGCACCCTGGAGTTCCATGACTACTAGAGAGTGGTCATCCAGAGAGCTCTGTGAGGAATGCTTCTTCCACCTGCATTCTCTTAAGACTTCTGATGGGGCCCCACGCCCTCTCTGATCTGCTCATTTTCACAACTACAGGGCGGAGGCACAAAGCCAGCATCATATAGGGAGTCTCCAGTGCCAGCGTCCACATCCTTCATTCGCGTCCTTGAAGGGTTTCCCTTCACATTTTCTGATGGTGTTTCTGAGTACATGGTGTCAACAGCACTCAGAACTGTTAGGTTTTCTATTTATCCTCAGGCCAGGAAAAGGCACAGATCACTGCAGTGTAAAATTACCAGTGCTTTTGACAGTGACCTGGAAGCACTGCGGAATGAAAAAATTTAGCCTTGAGAGCTGAGGTTCAGCCCCAGGCCCATCTTAACCAAGAAGTTCTGCTCAATTATACAGGTCACAAGAAGTTCTGCTAGTCTTGAAAATATTGAACTCATCAAACTGAAGTTCGGTGTTGTTGACACATCTTGATGAATGGCCAGTTTTAGACACCAAGTACGGTATCAACTTGTTCATGTCCTCCTCTATTTCATTCCTAATCTATCTTTATTTTGAAAAGTAATTCTATGAGTTTTGAGATTTGCTTTTTATATCTTTTGTAGGTCTCTGCAAAGCAGCACATGTTCTTCTGAAGCCTTGAAGACTCACTGAAATGGGAGAAGTGACCACATTTGCTGAAGAAAGGGGACTGTTTCTTGGGAATTACTCTTGCCAAGAGTGGGGAATCATAATGGTTAAGAGCTCCGGCTTCAGAGGCGTCTAGTTGAAGCTTCCCTTTGCCACTTCTTAGCTATAAATCTTTGAATGAGTTACCCTCCGTGTGCCTCAGTTTTATCTTTTGGGAAATGCAGACAGCAGTACTAATACCCACTTCTTTGGGCTGTTTGAGTTCATTGGTATAAAGCATTCACTGACTGCACATAGAATGCTCTCAAGAAATATTAGCTACTGTATTAGTCAGCGTGGGCTGCCATAATAAAATACTATAGACCAGGTGACTCAATTTTCCTGTAGTTCTGGAGGCTGGGATTGTAAGGTCAGAATGCCAGCACAGTTGAAGTCTGGTAAAAGCTTCCTCCCTGGCTTGTGTCCACTATCCTCTTCCTGGGTAATCACATGGCAGAGTGAAAGAAACATCTCTCCCACCCTTATGACCTCATTTAACCTTAATTACCTCCTAAGAGCCCTAAGTACAAATATGGTCACAGAGATTAGAGCCTCAACATACTAATTTTCTATTTTTAGTTAGATGATAACTTAGAATTGCTGTAGATGTAGTGTGCATGTAGAATCACAAAGTTCACTCTAGGCAGGATAAAAATGTAGACTTAACACAGAAATTGGATGAATAAATGTGATATAGTTCAGAGGAGGGAGTCCCAGAATCCCAAAAGCTTTTTTCTAGTATGCTTCCCACAGAATGCTTCCTTAATTTCCTCTTTCTGGACCCTTTTATATCTTCAGTGTGAGTGACAGATTTCAAGGATTGTGCAACTGGTTCCTCTGTGTTTCTCTTTTTGGAAATTGGGCAAATAGTCTAGCACTGCCTTTGGAATGCAACATCATTGTATTTGGTGCCTTGGTCAAAATTCCCAATTTCAGTTGTTACATTTGGAAATGCATCCTTTGTTCCTTGTCATGATACACTGGATACAGAACATTCATAACTCTTCAAGCCTCAGTGCTGAACCAATAGTTAGGGATAGGTAAGGAAGGAAGCTAACATTCATCGAGTTTAAATAATTTGCTTCATTAATTTTCATATAACTAGAAAACAGCAGAGCCAAAATTGCTCTTCAGATCTATATGTTCTAAAATCAAGGTACATATGTTATATGAGAAGGTACTCATGAAATTTTACGAAGGCAAACACTTCTTTAAATTCTGTCTTCCTTAAACTCTCTTAATTATATTTATTAGTCTCTTAAAATGCATTCAAGTATTTTTGATTTTTGGCAAATTTAAGAAAATACTGAAAATTGAGGCATTAGTTTTCCTTCTGTTGTAGCCTTTTTCTTTTACCTCATGAATGAAGGATGGGTAATTTCCACTTATAAAGCCTTTGAGGGTCTTTTTATTTAAACTATAAAATTAGTGACTTTGACATTGTCCCAAGAGGATGTGTTTATTAACTTGGTTATAAATATTTGAACTCCACACTCTAAGCTCAATTTCTCATATCTGAGGAAGACATATTAACATGTATTTATAATTTATTACTTCCCCAGAATCACTGTGAGTTTCAGAAGCCAAAATATGGCTTCTACTTCTTAACTTCCATGGAAAGCAGAAAAAAGCAGATATTTCTATTTACGTTCCCTAAAACCAGCTTTTATCTGTACCTAGGCACGTGCCTACAAAATCATAGGGAACCAAGGAGCAAAAGAAACCCCTGAAAGATTCTATAGATGAGAAAAAGCAAGTTATCTTCTGGGTGTCAAAGTCAAAATAGATTTTGACTTCTCATTAGCAATATTGGATGCTGGAAGACCATGAAATAATGCCTTTGCCATTCTGAGGGAAAGTATTTTTAATCATAGAATTCTATACCCAGCACAACCACCACTTAAATAGGTAAAACATATCAGATATGTAAGATATTATATGTTAGACTTCTGAAGAAGATAATTGGCTGTGAAGTCCAATAAAATGGAAACCACCATGAAAGAGAAAAGCATGAGAGACATGAAATAAATCTAACCTGTAAGAGAGGGTTGGTCCCAAACAACAGCCAACGGCAAGAGCTTGTAAACGCTGAGAAGCAAGCTCTCTAGATGGGAGCAGAAATTAGGAAATCCCTGGTAGATATCTCAGAAAACAAAGATTGGTCCACACGTGAAAATATTTATTTAAAAATAAGCATAGAAACTCTTTGTTAGATTTATCATTGTTAATTATTAGAGTCAAACCCATAGAAGGCTCAATTATGATTACAGGAAAGATTATAAACATTATCAATTTTGACAACTTAAATGAAGAGTTAGCAAGTACTGAGGTGTGGCCTAGGGGCCCTGCAGAAGAAAGAAAGATAAGGACCCCAGTATACTTATCTAGCATACATAAATTTCATGAAGAAATAGACATTGGCTGTACAATTTAACAGTACAAATGTAACCAATAAGAGAACCTGGGGCTGGGGATTTAGCTCAGTGGCAAAGCGCCTGCCTGGCAAGCGCAGGGTCATGAGTTCGGTTCCCGGTACCAGAGAAAAACAAAAAACAAAAAACAAACAAACAAAAAAAAAATAAGAGAACCTAAGGTAGAAGTATTAGCAACTGAGAAGAGGAAAGTAGATAAAGAAAGAAGAGGATGTGTAAGGGAATAAAACATCATTCCTATAAAGAAGTGAACAGCTATTATTTAAAGATGATAAAAGGAGAAATGGGAACTCTATCTGAATTAAAAAGATAAACACCAAAATATAAAATAGATCAACAAAAATTAATAAAAATGATTACCTGTGGGGAGAGGGGTGGGGCATGAGGAAGAAAAGGGTTAGAGAGTGTGATATTTTATTATAAGCTCTTATCACTTCATTTATTTTGTTCACATGCACGAAACACTTTGTCATAGATATGCATGTAATTAATTAATTTTAAATAACTCTCATGAAATAATTTTAGTCGTTGACTGTTCAAATTTTTCAGTCTGTCCTGGTGATGGCAGTGGGGTGGATTGTACAAAAACACTGGGTGCCCCTAGACAGATGCAGATGGGGGTGGGGTGTGAATGATCATAAGAAAGACCTGCTCAGCCAACAATCAGAATGGACTGTTGTTTTTAGTGCCATATTCTACATATTAAAGTTGCGCAAATTAGCTTCTCTACTAATTCTTTTGTTTTGCTTTGTTTTGTTTTGTTTTCTGGTACCGGGAATCGAACTCTCTACCTCGCACTTGCCAGGCAGGTGCTGTGCCACTGAGCTAAATCCCTAGCCCTGCTTCTCTGCTAATTAAAAATAATCATAGAAGTCCAAAGAAGCAAACTCTGGAGCATCAGGAGAACAAGAAGGGAAGAAACTTGGAGCAACCAGGGCTTACTTAAAAGATCTCCAGTTGTCATCACAGTGATGAGCAGGAGACATAAGCCAGGCATATTTGCCAGTCAGTTCGCCTCATGTTAAACACGACTGAATGTGGGCCAGGCTGGACTGGAATGATCTGGGTTAATCTTCTCAATTTGAATCTAGGCAACAGGGAGAATGGATACTCTTTTCTTTCTCTGCCCAGCTATGAGCTTTTGGTTTTCATGAACTGTTTGAATTTTTCTTTTTCACTCCATGTACCACTGATTTTCCGCAATTGCCCTTGTAATTGACTTTGCTACTGAAAGAAACTCCTAAAATGTTGGAATTTCTTTATTATACACTTTGCCCCAAGAATGTGTCAGTCAGGGCTAAAGCAATAGTCTCAGGGCAGACGGCCAATTTACATCTGATGACAACACTGCAGTAGAGTAGTTGCAATATGCTGACTTCAGAGTGAGCTTGTGATACTGACCTGGGAAAGGCAGCCCGGAGCAGCTGGGCTAGGCAAGCGGGATACCTGTCTTGGCTCAGGAAAGACCATGGCTTGAAAGCATTCCCTCTTTGCTCTTTTTTGTTATGCATAATAAGGTGAAATAGATTGCTAAATCTGCTAGCAGAGAGCGAGTTTTGGCCTGACTTTTATGGGCGTTTGGGTTTACTTTGTGAAAGCGGAATCAGCAGTAAGAATCATAGGAATTTGGTGTGTGGAGGGTTGTGGTTGCTTAAATTGTTCTGAGAAGAATGTATTTGTAGGGTTTTAATGTTTAGGGGTGGCTAGGACACTCAGAGAGCATGAAGTTCTTTGTGGTGTGTTGAGTTAGGGAGTTTTCAAATGAGTCCAGAGTTTCTGAATTTCGTGAAGCTATTCTGAGACCTCACGCTTGTTCCCTGTAAATGTGTACTCCGTGTGCATTCCATCATTGCAGGGATGGTTCCAACACTGCATTAAGAGGTGGAATTCTAGGACACAGAGATATTGTAGAAGGGTGTTTGTAGATTGGAGTGTCACTTATCCAGACTAATCCATAGGAAATTAGTTCTGTGGTCTGTTTAGTCTGGTAATAAAAGACACTCTATTTCTCCAATCCATCAATTTCTTGATACGCAAAATACTTCTGTCAAGTCCTTGGTAGGACATACTCAAGATTAACAACTTGTCATCCTCTAGTGAGGAAGAAGGTTCCTGAAAAAGAATCTTCCTAACCACCCTGAAGGCACTTTTTGGATTAATTTTAAGAGCTTTGGAAACCATTTCATTATGTCCTAAATACTTTCAACTTCCTAAATACTGAATAGTTTTCTTTTATTCCAGGGCTGGAGGTGAAGATGGGCTGGGTTCCCCTACCCGTCATCACTGTGGTCTGAGCTGTACAAGGGCTCTCCCTTCTCTTTTATTCTATTACCTCTGTGAGTGACTCATCTGGAGAAATCCTTCCATGCCCTTCAGCAGACCTGGCACCAAGTGAAGTGGAGGTTTTTGGGCTTTCTAGTGGCAGAGACCTGGGGCTTTCACCAGGGAGGCTGCACCTGGACTGGACCCGTTTATACTGATGGCATTGGGTCCTGTACTATCTGCACAGCCCTAAAAATAGCTCTCAATTAACATTGCATTTCAAGAATTGGAAAATTTCCCAGAAGTCCATTCTTTTTTTCCTTTTCTATTTCATTACATTTTGCAGTAATAATACACAAGCCTGCAGAAAACATGACGGGTAATGAAAAAATGTAATTAATATAAGCAGTGTAAAGCATGTTTTTTTCTCTGTTGTCCTTGCAGAAAATTGCTGCTT